ATAATGAATGTCAGTACGTGTTGCCTGTTGGACTTTAAATAAGAGAGATGGTCTTGAGGGCTGATTTACAATTTTAGCCCAATTCATTATGAAAAGCCCAATTAGGGAAGGGGGCCGAAGGAACGTTTCCTTCGGTCCTTCCCACCCACCCCCCTTTTTTTCTTCTTTTTCTTTTTTTTTTTTTTTTTTTTTTTTTTTTGCTTTTTTCAAGAGAATTGTAATTGTAAGAGAAAAAAAAAAGGGAGCAAAAAGGAAAGTTTATTTCTTTCTTTCTTTCTTTTTTTTAAGAGAATTGGAAATAATACGAGGTTTCAACTAACCTGTTGAGTTGCTCAATGCGAAGAAAACAAGGTATCAATGTCCTTTTTATAAGAACCCAAAGTCCAAAACCAAAAGGGAATTGAATTTGGAAGAAAATTTAAGTGCCTAATTTGAAAATGAATATAATTCTTAAGTAAAAATCTTAAAAATAATTGTAAAAGCATAATGATTATCTAAATTCTAAAATTTCCCCATATAACTATCCACGCATCAATTTTTCTATTGCAGAAGGAATTCTTTTAATTTGTTTGAAAAACAATATTTTAGAAAAATGACTATTTAAATGACGGTACTAGTATTTATCCTAAATAAAAATTTATAAATATAATTGATAGATTTTTTCCAGTACAATTTATTTATATGAGTCGTGACATTGTATTTTAACCAACAATAGGAACGTGTTATCCTAAAAAAAGATAAATAGGGAATCTAATTGGAATTACAGCTATCGATCTCTAAGAAAAAAAATTCTTTAAAAAATTTACTAATGTTTAGTAGATAGAGTGAAAATTATTTTCGCTACATTGTTTGCCATAAACAAATAATTTCTAAAAAAAAAAATCAATAACAAAGTGATAATTTACATTTTGCTTGGCATGACTAAACGACCAATTAAGAAGCAAATAGATAAAATGAACTAAAAGTTCGCACGTTGCTGCTGAAAATATTATTGTATTATATAAAAAGTTAAAAATATAAATTTTAGTACAAAACGGTAATAAAACGGACAAAATTGAACTCCAAATCAATTCAAAATAGTAAATAACTATAATAAAGAATAAAAATATTAAAAACAAACCGAAAATGGTTTGAAACCGTCCGATCAAAAATTTCGACGGCTGTGATTCACGCGTGAAAAGCACGTGCAAAGAAGCGCGTTCAGCGGGGGAAAGAAAGCAACTTTGCAATAGTGGGTCCCACTATTGTTTCCTTCAACTAGTTGGGCTTGACACGTGACAATTTTAGATCAAAAGACGTAAAAATTCATGTACAAAAAAGGAAAAAGAGAAGAAAAAAATAATAAAATTAATAATTCACGCTCAAAAGAGGGAGACATAAGTAGAATTTTAAAAATATTACTATATAATGAATAATAAATTGTGAATGTTAAATGAACAGTACGGAAAAGCAAACATTAACCCGTGTACTATAATAGAATGAAATCGTATTAACCATTTGCTTCATGTACTTCTTTTTTTCTTTTGCCGGATTATTTGCTTCATGTTTTGCTTTGTTCCAGACTAATATTTGTACTTTTTTAGAGGTAATATTCATGCGTTTTACTATTTTTTAAAGTAGCTACCAGATCAAGCTTTTGACCAATTTTGCTATACAAATATTTGAAAGGATCAGTTCTGCTAATTAAACTATTAGGACCAACTAATTCAATTATGAATAAATGAGATTATTATTAAACGGTAAAATTTCATGCATTGAGTTAAAATTTAACAAAAATTTTAAAATATTATAAATATAACAAAAATGATACAGTAATTGTCATGATAATACCATATTTGATACTATATAAAGATAAAGTAATTAATTTAATGGTGTAAAATTTTGCTAGCTGATTGTATATGCTTTGCAATTTGCATGTGAAAAAAGTGTGGGTTAGCATTTTTTGTTTTTTTTTTGTTTTTGGTTGTAAATAACACCCTTTATTTTGATTTTTTATTTTCTTTTTTCAGAGATTGTCTTTTTCTTATAGAAGATCTGCCACGTCCTTTCACATAAGCATGGTCATATTAAACAAAGTAGTCCATCTGTCCCCACCCCACCCCCTTTTTTTTTTTGTCTCTTTTCGCATTTTTTTAATAAGATTTTCATTTTCCGCTGTTAAATGAGTTCCTTTTGGTCCATATTATCGAAGCATTTTCTTAAACTGTTGCTGGCTAAACCGAAGTAAAATGAATCATTCATTTTTCTAAAAGAAAAACTAAAATAATAATTTATCGTTGTCTTTCCATTGAGTCTCAATCTAATAATGAAATTCAACTGTGTCAAGAAACTGTCATTGTTTTCCTTAGAAAATAACCGTCAGGTTGTAATAACAATGATGATGAATACATTCAACCCAAAAGGCGAATAACGAATAGCACTTTTATTGGCCATTATTTTAGTTTTTAATATCACAAAAGGAATAGCAAAATATACCCATTTTAGCCAAAGCATTTTGAATGGTGTGAGAACGCATTTATAATTCCTTGAAGTGAACGCAACACCAACAACTTTTAAAATGATAAAATTCCACCTGAAATGACGTTTCTATAAATTTGAAGAGAAAAATTTGAATTTAAATTTACGTTTAATATGCAATTAAAATTTTAATATGAACAAAGAATAAAATATGAATTTATCTTTAGTAGGTGTGAAAAGTATAGAGCGTGAGCACCCTTAATTACTGTTAAAAATGATTTGAACGGTTAAAATTAAGGAGACAGTTAAATTTTAAATTTGACGGTTTAACTCAGTTCAAATAGATAATATAAATTGAATTGCATACTTAACAAACATGAATTCATACTGTGTCCACTATTCAAACTGAATTGAACTAAATTAAACCAATAAAACAAACGGGACTAAAGTTTTTTATATTGCTCAAATTACTCTGATTTTTTTAAAAAAAAGTAAAAAATTCCAATAAATGATAATATCTACATAAATATAGATATGACAATTTTTTCGTTCTTTTTTTTTCCTTAATAAAAAAGCACATTGCATATGACAACTTGATGAATAGCTATGCCATTTAAAAGGATTTGATTTTTGTGTTCTTTTAAGGTCTGTTTGGTGTATGGGTTCATATCATAGTTCATGATTATACTTATAAAACTTTAAATGTTTTTTAGATAAAAATATTGTAACAAAATTAAGAACCATAATTTGAACCATGCAAGATTCTTAAAACAAATGCACCCTTAGTTTTTATCATTTGTTGTACTCCTACAATAATATCATATTACTTAAAGGATAGGATGCATTTTAATTAATATAATAAAATATTAAAAGGACCTGAGATGAAACAAGAAAAAAAATGTGAGCCTAAAGAAATATGATTTAAAAAGAATTGTTGTTTCATGAATAGAAGTTGTGGTTTTTTTTTTCTCCTTACCAAATAGAGTTGTAAATTTACGCCGAGTCAAACAAGTTGGTTCAAGATTCGTCATTGTTATCTCGATCTTAGGCTAGTCTACTTAAGTATTCAAGCTGGAGTGTCAAGATTTCGAGTTTGAAAGTTTATTCGGACTGGACTAAACATTTTTTTAACTTTTATTTTTAAAAATACCTTATAAACATTCGGGCAGACCTAACTCAGTATCGACTCGATGGACTTTTAGACCAAACAGGACCTAGTCTAGACCTAACTCAATCTCGACTCGATGGACTTTTAGACCAAACAGGACCAAGTCTTCCAAACCCCTCTGATTTATCGTTCGGGTCATTGGGTCCGAATGGGACAGTCTGAACGTGCACTTCTACGCCCAAACGAGTCAAAATTGAAATAAACGCCGTCATTGATTTCATTGGAGTCGTTTCTTACAAAATAAAAACTAGATTCCAAAATCATGGATAAAAATTAAAAAAGAAAAAAAGAAAAACCCTCCGACACGGTACACCCAAGGGGACTGAGGACCCCAGGAAGCCATTAACCATCTCATTGGTTCTCTAGTACGGTGAATGGGGCCCAAAAAACACTGTTTGGGGGTGCTTAGTGCTTACCGCGAAACAAACGAATGAATGTGGGGGAAATACTGATAATGCAAAAGAACAATCCTAATAAAATTTTATGTTTAAAAAAATTTTAAAGGAAAAGAAAAAGGAAAAAAGATTTTAACATAAAATTCTCTGGACTGTTTTTCGTTCAATAGGGTTCAGCCAGGACGCGATATTAATAATTGAACTTTTTTTTTTTTTTTTGTTTAGACACCTTTTCTTTTCTTTTAATCAAAGGCAAATTTAAAACTCCCCCGAAGTCACTACAAGGTATCATTTTATTGGGTCCACTGTCCATTTGATTCATTTTCTAGCCAGGAGAAATATATTTAAAAAAATAGAAAATTAATCTTTAAAAATGTATAAGTCTGCAGTTTTATTATTTATTTTTTATAAATATTCTTTTTATTAGTGTAATTATTTGATTAAAAATATTATGAATGAAGAATAAAGAGTAAAATATTGATCCATATACTTTGACCCGTTTGGTTCGTTAATTTGAGTTGAGATGTGATTTTATGCGAGAATTTTTTACCGTAGTAAAAAAATTAGATGTGACTGTTTCTGAGATTTTTTTTACTATAGCAAAACTCGAATTCTAAACTTAAATCAGTGAAATAAATAGAATCTTAAAAATTATTTATCAAGATTATCTAATATATTTAATTAGAAAGAAAAGAAATTAACAAAGTAAAAAGAAAAAAAAAGATATAATTTTGATACCATTTTTTACCCATGGAAATGCTGTGTTGGCAAGCATAAGTGAATTATTAACATTTGAATTAAAAAGCAAAGGAAAGTCAAAAAAAAAAAAAAAGATAAAGTAGACTAGAGATGCAATTTGCAAAAGCAAAGGCCAAAACTCCGGCAAAATCGGGTCAAATAATCCACTTATTATATGTATATTTACACTAATACTGTCTCTCTCCTCTCTCTCTCTCTCTCTCTCTCTCTCTCTCCTCCTCCTCACTTCTCACTAATGAGTAGACACTGCTTTCACATTTACTCCTCTGTCTCTGAGCTATCTATCATTCAGATCCAGGTTTGTCTCTTGCTCCAAGCTCTTGACTTTCCATTCACTTTTTTCTAAGCTTTGATTTGTGGACATTTTTTTAGTTTCTGTTTTGTGTTTGGTTGCCGAGAAAGATTAACAAACGGAAGGAAAATGGAATTATGGAAAGTGAATGATTTTGTGTGTGTAGAGTGTTTAATACTGCTTTAATCTGTACCAAAATGAGGACTTTGTTCAAGTGTGCCCGATGAAGCACCTTTTTCACATTTGAGAGTGAAGAGTGAGCACTTTCCTTTTCTTGGGTCCCAATAGGTAAAGGAAGCATATTGTGGTTTAAAGCTTTGGTTTTTTCTCGTTGTTTCTCAGTTTCTTACCTTTTTTTTTTTAAGCAACCAAGCTGAATATTGCTTTCTGGATTTATCTCAAATACGGAAAATGGATATATATAATATATGTGTGTGTGTGTGTGCGCGCGCGCGCGCGCTGAAATACTGAAAAAATGAGCGGAGAGATCTTTTTTATTTTTTCATTTCTGTTATTGTATTTGAGAATTTAACTTTTATCTGTCCAATAGTTTTCTTTTTTAGGTTTTAGTTTGTATTATTTTTGCAAAGTTTTCTTATCGATTCTTGAGTAGCAAAAGAGTTTCCATGGTCTCAATTTTGTTTCCATGGAAAATGATAACGGAGTAGAAAAAAAGTTTTATTTTGATTTATTTTAATTTCTGGAATTGAAGTTCTCTGTTTTTATGATTTCACTATAAATCCTTAAAATTATAAAGAAAACAAACAAATCGCTTTGGCGCTTAATTGGTTTTTTGGGTTTTCTTAAGTAGTGTTAATTTGTTAAGGATCACCATCCTTTTCTCAGCCAGTTTTATTTTTCCAGAGAAGTTTTAAAGAAAAGTTCCAAACTCTGCTATTAACTTATTTTTTCTTGTCGTATTTCCTCATTATTCGGTGACCCGTATAATATATATATATATATATATTTTTTTTTTTTCTGTTTATTGATGCAGGTTTCTATGATATGAACTGTTGTTACAGGCATTGAAAACCTGATATGGTTATTTATCTACTAAAGAGGTATTCCATAAATTAGAATGAATTGAAGTTTAGGGCAAGAGGAGAATAAAATGGAAGAAATACAATCGCAATCCGATAACTACAGGTCCTCATCATCTTCAGCAAGTAGCCCAGCTAGTAGGGTTCCCTCAAGCAACTTTTTCTATTTGCGGAAACCGGGTTCACTTAGACAACCCATCTCGTTTGAGGATTCTCCAGATTGGGGGGATACTGATATAGATGTTAGGGTCGACGAAGGGGGTGATTCTATCAATGTCGCGACAACACCGGCTTCCCCATCTCTCTCGAAGCTTAACAGTATGTCATTGCCTTCCCCACCGTTACCTGAGGGTGCAGCTGTGGCAAGAAAGATTGCTGGGGCTTCGGTTGTTTGGAAAGATTTGACTGTTACTATAAAGGGGAAAAGGAAGTACTCTGACAAGGTTGTGAAGAGTTCAACTGGCTATGCATTGCCAGGAACCATGACAGTGATAATGGGTCCTCCCAAATCCGGGAAGTCCACGCTACTAAGAGCTATTGCAGGTCTTTAAGCATGCGAAGCATTTAAAGCTTTGTTTTTTTGTTTTTGTTTTATTTCGGTTTTTTGTTTGTTTGTTTTGTTTTTAGACGCATGGAAAGTTTAACATTGTTTTCAATCCTTGTTCATTAGGAAGATTGCATCATTCAGCAAAGATGTATGGTGAAGTGTTTGTGAATGGGGCAAAAATACAAATGCCGTATGGATCATATGTGAGTTCCACTTAACATCACCAAAATCTTTACTGGTTCAGTTTACCTTTCTTCAGCTTCAGCAGTTTCCTTAATAAGCACAATTCACGACCTTTCCCCATTTTACCTAATTATAGCTCTATCATTTCTGATATTAGTTTTTTTAGCTCATGTTTGTTAGAAAGTTAAGCTTAAATGTAGTGAAGAAAAAAGAATACAGCTGACGTTTGTTTTTCTGGGGAAATGCAACTTCATTATTATTTTTCCATTTTCAGGGCTTCGTCGAAAGGGAAACAACTCTGATTGGATCCCTCACTGTCCGGGAGTTTCTATACTACTCAGCGCTGCTTCAGCTTCCTGGTTTCTTTTGTCGAAAAAAGAGTGTGGTCGAAGATGCCATCATTGCTATGTCACTAAGTGATTATGCAAACAAACTGATAGGTGGCCATTGTTATATGAAGGGCCTTCCTAGTGGCGAGAGGAGGCGTGTCAGCATTGCTAGGGAGCTTGTGATGAGGCCTCATATCTTATTTATAGACGAGCCTCTTTACCATCTTGATAGGTAAGTGTTCTTTGTTTTTTCTTTCTTTCTACTAACTGCATAGTTGACCTGGGAAATGGGAATAAAGGTGTATTCTTTTGTCTGAAATTTCGAGAATCTGGATTAGAGGCTCTGGCACATCCCTCATCATATATTTTTGTGCATGAATCAATATGGGCTGTATCCCTAGCTTTATATGACAGCATTTTCACAACTTTTTTCTTGAAACATGTATTGGCTAACTTCCAAGTCTAGTATGGTATCAATTAACTGCCACTGGTTTCTGAGGGATCCTCTGATAATTGGCTTCCTCAAAAAGTTGGTTTACTCGTGACCTATTTTTCCCCCTTCCTGATATATGTATATTGAATTATGATGTGCATCTTTCGTTTCCAACATGCTGGATGGCAAAACATTTTTGCTTTAGCACAACATATGTAGTTGAAGTGATTTTGTTTTGTTCAGTGTATCAGCACTTCTGATGATGGTTACGTTGAAGAAACTTGCAAGCATGGGATGCACTCTTATATTTACCATTTGCCAAAGTAGCACGGAAGTATTTGGCCTTTTTGACCGGATTTGTCTGCTTTCAAATGGAAATACCTTGTTTTTTGGGGAAACATTGGCTTGCTTGCAGGTATAGTGGTAAATGTGTTATTTTCCTGTATCTTTTCATCTGCATCGTGAATAACTTGAGTTTTGCAAAAAGATAATAACTATTCAAATTGTGTAGAAGATTACTAATTAAAACTTATTTTGGTGATGAAGCACTTCTCAAATGCTGGATTCCCGTGCCCAATCATGCAAAGTCCCTCTGATCACTTTTTACGTGCAATAAATACTGATTTCGACAGGATTATTGCAATGTGTAAAAATTGGCAGGTAATTCTTATAATGCAGTGTTATTAATTCTCATGGCACTTATTGCATTCTAGAAATGCCTATAAGAATTGTCCCGTTGTAAAACGATGAAAGCATCGTATTAGTTTGCCACTAATGTTATAGTGTCATTGGGAATTTTTGCACTTCCAAGGCCAATGTATTACATTATTTAGTTATATGCTACGTGATGATCATGGGATCATAAAAGAAAGAATACATGATTATGGGCCCATTTGCCTTCAACTTTAGATTTTTTTCTTTGTTAATGATACATGGTTTTTGTGGAACGGGAAACTATAACAGGATGACAATGGGGACTTTTCATCAGTGAATATGGATACTGCTGTAGCCATCCGCACCCTTGAAGCAACATATAAATCATCAGCTGATGCTGCTACAGTAGAAACGATGATTCTGAGACTCACAGAGAAGGTTTGAGTTTATACCTTATTTTGAGTTCTTGCTGTTTCAACTTCAAGTTTGCTGTTTACATATCTTTCCATTCCCCGGGGCATGGGAAAAAGGAGTGTTGTCTTTATGGTGACTTTTATTTCATTCCTCCTTGTGTATGCAATTGCCTCTGCAGGAAGGTCCACTTCTCAAGAGCAAGGGAAAGGCTGGCAGTGCTACACGTATAGCTGTTTTAACTTGGAGATCGTTATTAATCATGTCAAGGGAATGGAAATACTATTGGCTTCGTCTCATTCTTTCTATGCTTCTTGCACTTTGTATTGGCACAGTGTTTTCAGGCTTAGGGCATTCTTTGTCTTCAGTTGTGGTAAGTTTTTTAGTATAACCTCTGTAATATTTTGGAAGCCCTCAGTTTTATCTTTATGTGCATTATCTGCTAGTCCTAAATTCCATAAATCTTGATTTACATGACCTGTATCACTATATAACTCAGTCTCATGAAGTCCAATATTAAATACTAATTACTTTATCTTCTTAAATAACTTTAACATGGTTAAAATGAGTAACTAAAAGTTCCGCTTTCTGGAATTTTTCTTGTATGCACTACCTTTTTTGTATTATTATTTTTTTCTTGTTGAACATTGTTAATTATCTTTACCGCATATGTTGCAGACAAGAGTTGCAGCAATATTCATTTTTGTCTCATTTACAGCACTTCTAAGCATTGCTGGAGTGCCTGCACTTATGAAAGAAATCAAGGTAATTCTGACCACTATACTATTCTGTTAACTAAAAGGAACTTGAAAGTTTACGAAGATGTTCCGCAATCTAACATGAGAAATAACTTGCCTTCAATCGACTTCTAACTATTTGATGTTCCTCTACTGGTGACCGGTGATATACTAGTTTTAGTCCTTAGAGATATAAGTAACTGTTTTCGGAGGAAGGAATGAACAAGCTGATGGGAATTCATATCATATGTACAGGCCAAAAAAAAAAAAGGCTCTCAATTGGCACCCTGCAGTAATGAATTACTCAACTGTTTAGAAACTGATGGTCAACATTTACTTGCTTAAATAGTTAAAAAGATGAGGCACGAAATTAATGTTCTCCATTCGATTTCATTTTAATTTATGATTTTATTTTCTCTGCTAATTTGAGATTACTTTTTTCATCTCATTGAACCTCCTTTTTTTTTTTTTTTTTTTTTTTTTTTGCAGATATGTGCAAGTGAGGAATCAAACCAGCATTCTGGGGTGTTAGTCTTTTTATTTGGGCAGCTTCTCTCAAGCATTCCATTCCTCTTCCTCATCTCCATTTCGTCAAGTCTAGTCTTCTACTTCCTCCTGGGCTTGCGAGATGAATTCAGCCTGTTAATGTACTTTACGCTGAATTTCTTCATGTGCCTGCTGGTAAATGAAGGGCTAGTCCTGGCTGTTGTTTCTCTGTGGAGGGATCTTTTCTGGAGTGTCTTGACTCTGGTATCCATACAAGTGAGTGCCACTATCTCAAATGAAACGATCTACTTGATGTGTTATTTTCTCGATGAAATTGGTTGCGGTTAGCTCAGCCAGTACGCTGAAATAAATAGTTTACTAACCCCAGTTGTCAGTTGTGAGTCTTCTCTATGGTGAATTTCATTAATTATCTAGCCTTCCCAATTCTTACGGACAAGAGGTATGGTGTTTCAGGTCATAATGATGCTTTCTGCCGGATATTTCAGAATTCGTAATGAGTTGCCGGGGCCAGTGTGGACATATCCCATCTCTTATGTCACATTCCACACGTATTCTATCCAGGCAAGAAGACTTACCCACGTTTTATCTTTTGGCAACATCCACCTTTTTTGCTTCAGAAGTTTCCTCATCTTGGGGGAAGAAAAGAGAGGAAAAAACAAACACAAAAAGTCAAAAATTTTATTTATTGAAAGCCTTTAGTTGGTCACGTTTATACTAATTATGTCTTTTTGAGCTAATCTTTTATCCATGTTCATGTTACAGGGGCTCCTTGAGAATGAGTACCTGGGGACTACATTTGCAGTTGGGCAAGTAAGGACCATATCTGGGTTTCAGGCTATCCGGAGTGCATATGAGATCTCTCCGGACAGCAATTCCAAGTGGGGAAATTTACTGGTATTGTTTCTCATGGCAGTCGCCTATCGTATTTTCGTTTTTGTTTTACTCTACTTTCGAATAGGGAACAAAAGATCCATACATAAAATTTTGAGGTGTAATCAGGATACAAACACTGCAAGATGAATAAATGTACTGTGAGCACGTCTGTTTTCTTGTGCTTTTGCCATGGTAAATTTAATTATGGAAATATGTGATATGAATGACCAAAGTGCATGATTTAAGGCTGTTTCATGTCTCCCTTGGGATTTGCCAATTGGACTTGCATTATTGCCTTTTGATTTGTGATTACCGGAAACTCTTAAGCCGCCGGGAGGAGAAAACCCAGCACCGTGCGCGATGAATAAATAGAGTGACACGTCGCTATAAAAAGAATTGAAGTTAAAGGGCAACCGGTTGAATAGAGAATTGAAGTTAAAGGGCAACCGGTTGAATAGGTGAAGGCAATTGATGGAGAAAGAAAACAGAGGCTAACATTTAACTTGTACATACTGAACAATTGAAAAAACAAAAACCGTGATTGGCAAACATTCCTTAATGTACCGACCAAGTTTTGAAACCCGTTCCTTTGTGTGCCTAGACAATGGTTGTGTTGTGTGTATGAATGTGGGAAGCCTAAGTGGTGTTTAGAATTGATATCATTTTTATTTTTCACATTTTTTTAAAAAAATAAAAATAAAAACGTTTTTAAAACGGTGTTTGGCACAATAAAGATAAAAAATAAAAATGAAAACTATTTTTTAGTTTAGTGTAAAATGAGAGATAAATGAAAAATGATTTTTAGTCGTTTTTCATTTTTTGTTTTTGTTTTCTCCTCTCTCGAGCAGAGAGAAAGAGATAGAGACATTAATGGAGTATAAAGAGATAAGAGACATTAATGGATTTTTTATACTGAAAATAATCTCTTGACAAAACTATTAAACGTATTTTTAAAAATAATTTTTGTCTGAGATTAAAAACGTTTTTATTTTTATTTTCATATAAAAAATAAAATCATTTTAAAATGAGTTTTAAACGTGCTTCAAGGATCGTTGCATAATGGTGAAAATCACACACCCTACAAAGACAATCGCATGACAAAAGAGTATCATTGTCAACATATTTCAGAAAAACATAAACTATGACAACATAAATCAACATTAAAATAAAGAAGATAAAAGATGAAAATAAATTAATAATATTCCAAACAAATAGGAAACAAATCTATTGGGGTTGAAGATCTTTAATTTCAGTATTTTTTTTATTTATTATTGTTCTTATCTCGTGAGCTTGAGTCCATGAATCATGTTATTAGTGGGAAGAATGATAGGAAGCGGATCTAAGTGGAGGCCTCAACGATCGTGCAGTCATTGACGACGATCACATAATGGGATGTGATGTACCCTAATATTTATACAACTGTACTTAAGACGTACATTTGTATGTTGGGTATTATTTCATTTTAGTTGTTCACACGTATATAGCCTAATATTTGTACAGTTTTAGCTACTCTTTTTTTTTTCGCCTAATAAAGTTTTAACTTCGTATATAATGAATATAGGACCCTTAGCATTCTCCCGAGTTATTGGCATTTTACCCTGGACTCTCTTAATTTTGGCACTTTCAACCTTAAATTTTGTTTTCTGATAATTTAAATCTTGAACTATATTAATTTGACATTTTCAACCTTGAATTTTATTTTTAACAATTTAAACTTTAAACTCTCTCAATTTAACAATTTTAACCTTGGACTTTATTTTTTGACAATAGTTTATTATTCTCAACTATTTACTAATTAATAAATTATAACTAGTATATTATATGATTCATATACTAATTATAAATTATTTATTTAATATAGCTGGATAAAGTTTTTTACAGAAATTTGTACGTAAGCAGGAAACACATTTGCTTTATATAGGCTATATGTTCCCAGCAAGCTGGTCAAAGAACGCCGCCCAAATATATGTCCGCAAAACATCAACTCAAACATTTATTTTGGTGGGCAATGACTTCTCCAGACGCATCATATTTTCTATGCAATATTTTACCAATCCACATGCATTAAACATCAATTCTTGTACGTATTTAGATATCGTTTATTTCACTGATTTGAATTTTTAATTTTAATTTTATTATAATTAAAAGTTATCACAAAAAATCACATTTAACTTTTTTATTACAGTTAAAAATTCTCACATAAAGTCAAATCTCAATTCGAATTAACGAATTGAATGAAATCTTAAATTTCTCTAGACGCCCTCATCACAATGCCCGTCGGATTGTAACGGTAGGCATCCCCGTGCTAGAGATAAAAGGTAAACCATAGTCAGTGTATAGTATAAAGAACAAATGAAAACATTATGCTAGTGGCACTGCCACACTAACAGAGCCTTTCCACTTTAGACTTGGAAGACAAACGGCTTATGAACCTAAATTTAATCCAACGGACCAACACCCTGTCATCCCCTCACCATCTCTCTCATCTTTCTTCATTCCATTTAATTTTCACGCATTCTACACCCCAACCTGATGCAATAATCCCATTTTCTCAGAATTCCTAAACAAAACACCCCATTTTCTCAAAAAGAAATTAACACACTTTTTGGGACAAAACTACAAAATTGTTATAATGTAGGGCCCGTTCACTTCGCTGATTCGAGTTTAGAATTCGAGTTGAGATGTGACTTTATGTGAGAGCTTTTTACTGTAACAAAAAAGTTAGATGTGATTGTTTGTGAGAACTTTTTACTGTAGAAAAACTCGAATTCTAAATTCGAATATGCGAAGTGAACAAGGCCGTAATTAACTATTTTATTTTGCCAAAAAAAAAAAAGAGAGAAAGAAATCATTGGTATTAGTTACCTTCTCGGGCCTGAAAAAATCATGACCAACACGAAAACATGCCAACACTGGTCTACGCTTGACTAGTCTAACTACTGCCAATGAATCGGTGCCTTTACCTTCGTACATTGTGATTGCCTCAGGAGGAAATGTGTCCCGAATTTTTCTAGTAGGCTATTGATGAAAAAAAAAAAAAAAAGTGAAACAAATTAATAAAAATTAAAGTGAAACATAATTGTAATAAGGTAAACATATTTTACATCAATGATGTCAGAAACTTGATTGCCCATAATAAGAAGGCCATGATATAGCGCATCGGAGAGAAGGGTAGGCCGCATTTTGATATGTACTCCATTGCACTTTTGTAATTAAGAACCGTTAGTTTGTTAATTTAAATTTTTAATTTAAATTTAGATGAGAATTTTTTATTATAGTAAAAAAGTTAAATGTAATTATTTTTAAATATTTTTTTACTGTAACAAAACACAAATTTTAAATTTAAATTGATAAAATAACGGAACTTAAATCATCTTCATTTTAGGAGACGTTTAGTTCATGAATTGAAATCATGTGATTAGAACTATTTTTGATTTATGTGTATTTTTTTATGAGAAAAAATATTGTAACAAACTATGAACTATAATTCAAATAATAATTTGAATTCTCTAACTAAACATTTTTAGGATTCCGATGAAACGTTTCTGTTCTCCTCCCGACTAAAATGGTCACAAATCGGCTGGGGAGAAAGCTTCACATCTACGTCATACTTGAATGTCATTGCAATGCGATATAAATGCACGGCTCCAACAGCAGAGCACATGTTACCGAGTGCCTTTATGCTGTCAAAATTGGATAATTTTGAACGTAATGCCCTGTGGTCAATTGCAAGAGGAAGAGGAACCTGTGCAATAGGGGGAAAAAAAAAACCAAAGAAAAAAAACAACAAATCTCTGATAAATTTCTGATTTTTTGTTCTAATCTCTCTCTATTTTATCTTTCCTCGCTCTCCTATTGTTCGGCAGTTCCCCCACACTATCTATCCACAGTCTATACTTTAATCTCATGTTACTTTTTTTTAATAAATGCCAGGTGTTAGGAAGTATTGCACGTGGCTTTCTCTATGCTATTAGTTTATTTCCCGTTTACTTCGCAGATTTAAATTTTTAATTCGAGTTGAAATGTGATATTTTTTTAAGAGTTTTTTATTGTAACAAAAAAAATTAAATGTGACATTTTTTGAGAATTTTTAACTGTAAAAATTTAGAACTAAAAACTCGAATTAATAAAATAAACGAGACCTTAGTTATTTTAGTTTGAATAAGTCTTTGCCCTTTTTCATTTATCAATTAATAAAGAGGTTATCAATCCTTTAACCCATCAAAGTTGAGTTTGAGCCTTGGAGGTCTAGTCCCGAGAAGAACCAGAAGTAGTTTTTTTAGTTTTTTATTATTTTTATATTAATGGGTGTTGAAAATATTATCACCTCAATTAATAATAAGAGATTATATTTATTAATAAAAAAATTATAATGCACATGACACATCAATTGATATATAAGATTTAAAATATGAGTTGGTGTTCATAGCATTATTCTTTTAAAATAAATTTTATATTACTCCTCCTTCAAGTATGGATGTCTACTAAGCTATTTGTCCAATGATTCTTGATGGGTTCTTTATCACAAAAATTGGGCACGGCTTGACGTATGTCACGAAAAAAAGTATTTACAAAACATGTCAGTGCCATGTCATCACAGTATATTTCTAATATCAAACATATCCTTCAAGTTCAACTAGTATCCAATGGGATACCAATCGGTATCCGGCAATAATATCGCTATCCGATCACAATACCAACTGGTATTCGACTGTGATTGTTAGAATTTAGGAGGAAAGTGAATTCTAAAATTAAGAGTTTGAATCATTATTAATAGTTTAAATTATCCTTGAATTGTCCTTTATCAAACATCAATTTATATCATGAACTACGGTTTGAATCTTAAATTACAGTTTGAATCAGTAAAATAAATATGGACTTATTTTTGTAACATCATTTTAATATCATAAATTAAACACGAAGACTACGTTTCAACTTGTGTAAGGTTCTAATCCAAGCAGGTGGATATTAATAATACAGATTTGGTCATAAACACTTAAAAGTCATCAAACCCATATAATATGTCATCATATTCAAAGCATAAGTTTCTAACCTACACAAAACATAATATAAGTCTGCATGCATAAAACATTTCGCATCGTGGATATCCAGTTGCATGCCTCTTCCGTCCACGTCCACCACAAGTCCATTGATCCTCTATTGAGTTGCAGTTTACTTACCTACAACATGAATATACTAGTAAAAACTCAACATGTGCAAACATTACTCATAAAAACATTTGTATATGAAATAAATGCATGACTTGTTATACTTATTTATTCAAGCATATTTTATTCAATTAGTCCTATGCTCGTGCAGGTTGAGGTTGCGCACGATCAATGTGTTGGGAGAGCGATCCAAACATTCTAATCTGACAACACTCAAGTTCTTTAATTTTTATTAACTTCATTACATTACCCCCTTTGAGTCGGAACATATATATATATATATATATATATATTGGTATTTAGAAGAATGGCATTGATTTGAAAATATTTAGAAACATTAACGTACTTTATTTTTTGTCTGCCGAAAAAGTAACATGCTTAAACATAGATCTTGATACCTCCGGGACAAGTCTTTTGCCTAGTCCAGTTATGGCCCATACTTATTTTGTAATCTTGGTCTCTTTGATCATTGATGAACTGATCTATATGTTTTTCTCGGTTGATCCATTGGACCTAATCATCTGTTGAATTGCTTTCCTATGATCAAAACTTGATTTTCCACAGATCGGGCGGTTGATTTTTTGCATACTTCATCTCAGTGACCAAGCCCTTGGTTGGGTTATCTTTGGTCCCATGCTCATATATACTTGAATCCTGGTCTTCAGGTCATTGATGAACTGGTCCATATTTTTCTCCGATGATCCATTGGACCCCAGTGCATTATCCAAAATTAACTTCACTTCCTGTATTGCTTTCCTATAATCAAGTCCTGATTTTCCACATATCAAACGGTTAATATTTTCCGAAACTTCATTCCTAGTGACTAACCCTTGGTTCTTTAAATTGATTCCAATCATTGACAACTAATTTCCTATTAGTGAACTGATCGGTGAGTAAGGGGAAACATAACAGTGGGACTTGGCACCAAATGCTTTCTAATATCGAATTCCATCCACAATGAGGCAAGAAACCTCCTATTGCCGGGTGGGTCAACACGGCGATCTGGCAGCACCAAGGTATGATCATCGAACGGTCACGAACCTCCTCTCGAATCCAACGGGCAGTGGATCAACATCGTCCGAGCTGACAATGTCTGGCCGAAGCACCCAAACAAAATTCACATTGCTAAGCAAAAGGCCATTTGCTATCTCCGAAAGGTCTTTTTTTTGTAAGATGGGCATAACTACCAAATGAGACGTATAACATCGAACCATGTGGCTTAGCATTGAGCCATCCGGTGCAGTCGGACTCGGACCACAGGCTCGTGGCGACGGTGCTCTTGGTGAAGCCAGTGGGGAAAATGGGTCCAATGGCATAGAATGGCATCTTGGCCTGTAGGGCTAGTACGGTATCGGGTTCAAGCTCTTGAACAGTGTTGCATAGAACAAAATGTGCACCTCTAGCGTCCTTGAAGGCGTTGAAGATTATTTGGTGGCACACTGATGTTGTGTCACATTCTTGAAGATACGACATCATGTCCTTGGGCTCCATGGCCTTAAACACCGGGTATGTAATCTATTGCGTCCTCACGAACACTGACCCCCCCCCCCCCAAAAAAAAGGGGTATTTTTTTTTTTTTTTTTTTTTGTTTTT